TTGAGTTCAAATTTCACTGCACTGTGGTCTAATAATATGCATGAGATAATTTCAGTTCCTCTGCATTTATTTAGGCAGTTCTATGAGCTAGTATGTGGTCTGTTTTGGAGAACATCCCATGTGCAACTGAGAAGAATGTGTATTCTGATGTTGTGGGGTGGAACACTCTGTAGATACCTACTAAATCCATCATTCAAAAGTTTGCTTGAGTTCTAATATTTCATTAATTTTTTTGTCCAATTGATCTCTCTTTTTGTGACTGAGGTATTGCGATCCCCTCATACAGCTGTATTAGTGCTTATTTAATTTTTCATGTCCATTAATATTTGTTTTATATAGTTGTGTGCACTGGTATTTCTTGCAAATATATTTATGATTGTTATCTTTTCCTCTTGGATTATTCCCTTTACAAAGATGTAGTGATCTTCTTTATCACTCTTAATCAGTCTTGGCTTGAAATTCACTCTGTCTGAAAATAGAATAACTACCTGTTTTGTTTTCTGAGTTCCTGTCTCATGGAATATTGTTTTCCATCTTTTGACTTTCACTCTATGAATTTCTTTTTGAATTAGTGTTTCTTGTATACAGCATATTTTTGGACCATACTTCTTGATCCATTCTGCCAGTTTGTGTCTTTTGAGTGGTGAATTGAGACCACTAACATTGATGGTTGTAACTGATATGTAGTGACTTATCCTTGTCATGTTATTTTCCTGTTGTTGGCTCCCCTTTCTAAGCTCTGCTATTTCTTAGCCTTTCCTGGTAGATTACTTCTGTTGGGGTTCATGGAGTTGTAGTCCTTGTTATCTCTTTCTAGAATGTCCTTCAAAACATTCTAGAGTGCTGATTTGGTGGTCATAAATTTCCTCAGGTGTTCTTTGTCATGGAAATATTTTATTTCTCTGTCATTATTGAAAGATAGCTTTGTGGGGTACATCAATCTGGGTTGAATGTTGTTTTCTTTAGAGCTTGAAATACTTCACTCCAAGCTCTCTTTCACTTGAGGGTTTGTGCTGAGAAGTCACATGTAATTCTGATGGGATCTCTTTTGTAGGTGATTTGTTTCCTTTCCCCAACAGCTTTTAAGAGTCTATTCTTGTGTTGAATTTCGGGACTCTTGA